GCGCGCGCGCGCGCGCGCGTGCGTGCACGTGTGTGAATGCAAATATCCAAACAAAAAAGACTTTTCCGCATTTGACTAATTTATAAGATCATGAGACTTTCAAACTATGATCTTAAAGCATACAAAAGTAATGGCTTGAGAAATACGATTATAGAATGCCTAGCCTCCCATTTATGCGATAAATGGAATATAATAAGCATTAGAAATTAGTTCCCGAATACTACAAGCATCAGAAATATGATTGAAGTATGCATAACCTCGCATTCATGTTTGGTCTGTTTCCTGTTACTGCACTAGATTGTAAAATATGGCCATCACATGAAAAACATGATTTGAGTTTCGTCTACTATTCAGGATATCTGCTTTATTGTAGCAAATGCATTATCTCAATCACAAATCAAATTTTCATCTTTATGTTTCATTATATATTATTAGGTGTACAAAAAAGTTCTGAACTTTAGATTTCATACAACCGAAATAACAATTTAAATTTTATATATCTTCGCGCCCTTTTACGGTTTTAAAGCGTTAACATTTGGCCTTCTAAAATGCCATACGGTTTGGCGTTTGATGCATATAACCTCAAAAATCAGTAGTGTTCACGATGGCAATAACAAAAGAGTATATTTGATTTTCCATCCATTTCGCGTTTCATCTGAAGAAACATGCTGCTGAAGCCACTGCAATGATTTGTGCTACATATGGAGAGAGTTGTTAGTCATGCTACATGTAAAAGATGGTATAAAAAATTTCGCCAAGGAGACGATTTCAGTCTTAAAGATGAATCGCGTGCTGGACGCCCTGAAAAGATTGAAACGGACGAATTGCAAGCACTGCTGGATATAAACTCTGCGCAAACTGAAAAGGAGCTTGAAGAACAGCTTGGCGTTACGCAGCAAGCCATTTCCGTACGATTACATACGAATAAAGATTGAATTTTACAAAAAAAAAAGCTCAGAACTTTTTTGTACACCTAATATATACTTTTCCTGTAATTTCTCTTGAAAGCTTCAAAATCATAGCTGTCATGATGTTCTATAAATTATTCAAATGTAGAAAAGTACTTTTGATTTAGAAATATAATTGAACTTATTTATATGTATATACAGTCTGTCTAGTAAGAGCATGGTAGGCCTATCTCAAAGAAAAATGGCTTATTAGCCTTAAATTTATATTGATTGTATTCAGTAGGATTATGGCCAAAATGCAATTATATTAATAAGAAGTCCAGTCACCAGCTGCGTCTATAATAGACTGGCACCTCCGATACATTTCACTACAGTCTGTCTAGAAAGAGCGTAGCAAGGTTTACACACAGTCGAGTGTCCCAGCTAGCAAGGTCACGTGATAATGACGTGAATTTTTGGTACAAATAACGTCAATTATGACATAAAAGTAACGTTATTCTGACGTATATATCACGTGATTATGTCACATCTTATTGACGTTATTTTATTACGTCAGGGAGACGTAAATATGACTAAAAAGTACTATTAGTGTCACTACTAGTGCAATAATGCAGTAGTAAATTCGTATATACTTCGTGTTTAAGTAGAATACCGGTCAGTTTTCCCTAAATTACTGTTAGATTGTTAAAATAAGTATTAATAATTAGCATCAATTTTTTAGAATAAAATCATGAAAAAAAAATTTTCCTCTGAATTCAAGAATTAATTTTTTTTCATGATGCTTCCCAAACGGCCGGTCATCCATCCGAAGTTGTACCACGACCTCGCATGCTTGACCTTGACAATCGTACGGGAACTGCTGTACTTCGATGACCCACGAATTTGTATATGTCAACGTCTGTATAATTGTGATATATCTGTTCAATGGAAATATTAAAAACAGATGGTTTATGTGTTTATATGATAGTGTATGTATTAGTGTATATATTAGTGTATGTATCATTCCGCAAGTGTAATGCGCATGACATATCACTTTATCCTTCTTTTTCATCGAATATTAAAGGATAAAATGATACATCAAATAATAATACACAAATAATAACAAAAAATAATTGATTAGTAATGGTCATATATATGACGTCAATGTAACATCTAGCTGACGTCATATCGGTGACGTCAACTTTTGGTATTACAAATGACATCAAAATAACGTTCCATTTATGTCACTTGACGGCATTGTCATCAAAATCACTTCATAATCACGTCATTATCACGTGAGCTTGCTAGTTGGGGTAAAGATATACTCTAAATTTTTTATTTCGCCGATTAGTTGTTATCTTTGTGCTGCATGCATTATAAGCAAAGTACCCGTTGTTAATTGAATTGTGTTAGAATAAACGATTTTCAAAATGAGTGCTGCCTACGCATCTTGTTTCGAAGCAGGCTTTATCTCTTTACTGACAACCTGAATGCTGAGAAAATGTTAAAAATATATCAGAAAGCTTTGATACCGTCCGCCCAACGCTGGTTTATCAGTAAAGATAAAGATTGGTTACTCCAGGAGGATAATGACCCCAAACACCGAAGCCGGCTCTGCATGTCCTGGAAAGAGGAAAATAACATCAAGACACTCCACTGACCTTCAAAATCACCCGTTGCGAATCCCATTGAAAATATATGGTCACTCATCAAGAGGAAGCTTCGATGGAAGACCGACTTCAACTTCGAAGCGCTTAAAAAACGAAATTCGACGAATCTGGAGGTCTTTCCAACGTGAATAAGCGATTTCTTTAGTGGAAAGTATGCCTCGGAGGTGTCAGTCTGTTATAGACACAGCTGATGACTAGACTCCTCATTGATATAATTGCATTTTGACCATAATCCTACTAAATACAATCAATATAAATTTAAGTCTAATAAGCCATTTATCTTTGAGATAGGCCTGCCACACTGTTACTAGACGGACTGTATATGTGAAGGAAGAACGTATAAAAATGAAAAGTTCAAGCCATGTTCAAATAAGAATACTCAAAAATTTAAACCTTTTTATCTAATAATAATATATTACCATGAAAAGTAACTGATATATTATTAATTAAAGGTGTCAGTACAAAGTGAATATACATAAAGTGTATGTAACTTTCGTCCGATTTTCGAATCGCCTTCGTCTTCCGCTGTCCCACTCACCTCACCTCACCGCGCGCGGTCTAAATGTCGCTCGAGCGTCATGAGGTGAGGGGGATAACGGAAGGCGGAGGCAATTCGAAAATCACCCGAAAGTTACATACATTTTATGTATTTTGAAGGGTTGGACAAATCATATTATTCGGCCGGCTTGAAAAAGTTCGAGAATCGTTAGATCAAGTGTATCGAGCTGAAAAGAGACTATGTAGAGAAATAAAAAGAATCGATAAAAAAAAATGTGTTTTACTATGTTTTTCTAAAAACTTATTGACTTTTCCTCGTATTATATATATAGTTAATAAAATATTTGCATATCAAGTTCATAAATCAAGTTACCTTTGACAGTGAGAGTGGCCGATGTTTCGACGGAACCATGGATATTAAATGCACGACAAGTGTATTTGGCAGAGTCTTCAGCGAATGTTTCTTCTATTTTTAAAATACAAACGCCGTTTGCATAAGTTGCTAAATAGTCTGAATTATTTAAAATCGATATTCCATCTTTGTACCATACTATTTTTGGTATCGGCTGACCAATTAGATGACATTCAAAACTGAATTCTTTGCCTTCTTGAACCGTCGCATTATTCAAAGGAACTGTGAATTCTGGAGCTACTGAAACAACTTCGTTTATTTGTGTTTTTTTAGCATGTTCGAGCAATTCGTGGCATATCTCTTTGGATACAAGCTTCCCTGATGGACTAATTTCCGTTTGAATAACTGGAATATCTTTCTCGATTTCCATCTGTAATAATCATAAGTAAAATATTACAGTTTTTTATAATGTATCAATAATATACATATATCCCTTTAAAACAATGTTGTTGAAGTTTGGAGCACTCCAGGAGCGAAAATTCAACGCAAGCTTACATTGAACAAACAGAAATAATAGAGTACGATCCAGCTAACCCTGGAATCGACGCTCGACTAGCTGACCTAAGACTACCGGCTGTCACGTACCCTCCGCCGCGTAAGCACGTGCCAGCGGTTGGGTGCGTGATACAGCGATCCGTTAAGCAGCAGCAGAAGAAAATGGAGTGGTTGATGGCCACTCCACCGCCGCCGCTAGCACATAAGCGGCCGCAAGAAGAGCCGGCGCCAGAACCACGGCTCGTGTGGTCCGTGGGCCAGCTTCCACCGCCGCCGCTAGTACTAGTAAGAGTGGAGAAAGGCCATACAATAGATTTAACATCGATATAAGATAACCAAAAGAGTATCAATTAATTATTAATTTGTTTTAATTCGTGATAATACCGCGGTAGTTTATTATAGAGTTGCGTTTCAAGACCGACGATCGTTCGGCGCGCAGTTTGGAGGGACTACAATATATATTAGTATATAAATTCATGCGAAGTTATATATATACATAAGCAATTAAAGATCAGAGCTAGACTGTTTCCAAGCTAGGCTCCGTATTCGTATTAGATAAGTTAATTTAAATTTATATGTTCTCATTGATTATGTAGATATAAGTTTCTATGCTGAAATAACATGCTGATGTTATTATTATGTATACTTGAAGTTTAAGGAGCAACCAATCCGCTCCTATTTTTTTTAATTTTCTCAGATATTATGCTCGCACTTTCTGATTTTCATTGAAATGCTTGAACATACTATAAAAATTTTCGGTCACATGTATATACAAGTAATTGTCAATTGCATGTCTGTTTATTCAATGGATGCGTTCAGCGGACTCAATAGTTGAGTAAGCGCTCGCTATTATTGGTGTATTCTTCCAGATCTAAAATTCTGATTAAATGATCTAAAAGAATACACCAATAAAAGCGAGCGCTCACTCCAACCGTTGAGTCCGCTGAACGCACCCAATGTAAGCTTGCATTGAATTTTCTCTCCTAGACCGCTCCAAACTTCAATCATATTTTAAAACATACCTTTTGAAGAATATGAATTTCTTTCGTTGTCACAGTGGAAGCTTTATGAATTGTTTTTTCAACTATGGTCTCATCAGTTTGGGCGGAGATAGAGTGAGAGATAGAAGGAACAATTTTTTGTGTTTGTTCCTCTTTTAATTTTTTTGCCTCTATTTCAGTTTTATCTAAAGTCTCAGCGGCAAACTGTTCCGGAAGTTTCTTCGAGTCCTCTGCTTCTATCTTCGCAGCTTCCACCGCGACCATTTCTATTTTAACAGCTTGTAGCTTTTTGTCAGCTTTTAACGTTTCGATTTGTAGTTTCTCTCGAAGATCTTCGGCATTCTGTAAATTTTGACTCAAAGTACGCAACTCGGAAGAACTAACCGCGAAGGAATCTAGCATTTGCCGATTCTCTACTATTATTTCATTAAATTGCGGAAGTCTGTCTGTACCTAAAACATTATGTTGTGAACATATCATTTTTCATATTTATTTTATTTGATATATACTTTTTCTTCTTAAAATCATGTCATTTTTACCGAAAATTATTGTTGATAATTGTCTCAGTTTCTCAATTCTCTTTTCCTGTTGATCTTCACCTGGTTTTATGTAAACATCAATTTCTCGTAGTAAATCAATAGCTTCTTCAGGCACTCTTACGGTTGTTGCTTTACGTGCAGTAATTACCAAAAGTTTATTACCCTCCCTGATCCACTGTTTAGCTTCTTCTAAGAGCACGAAATAGTCAGTGCTTAAATGCATTCTTTTTTTGGTGTCTCTAACATGTTTCTTCAGATGATCCCATCTGTTGTGTAGAGATAAAATTTCATCTGTCACTTGTGATGTTAATGGAACAATTGTCTCTTCTGTTTTTTTTACAAAAGTTTCAATTTGTCTGTCTAAAATCTAATAACAAATATAGAAATTAATATTCCTATTAATATAATATTAAACCTTCTTATAATCTTCTCATTGCAAAATTAACGTAATATTATTTACCGTTATTGTTTGCTCAAACTGTTCAAAAGTAGTTAATGTTGTTTTCAATACTGATAAATTGTCACCAATTCTTCCATCCATCTCTTTTAGCTGTTCGTTTAATTCACGTAGATCGGAATTAATTTTTTCGATATCCTTTCTAAAAATACACAGATGCAAATGTTCTTCAAGACGATTTGACGTTTCAGTTTGGAATAATTCGAACTTGATGTGCACAGAATCTATCATACGGTTTAATTTCTCAATATCTTGTATTGCTAATTCTAGCGGCTCCTGTAGTCTAATATTGCCAATTATTTTTTCAGATTTTGTACGTATTTGTAGTAAAGATTCCGTAATAAACGATTTTAATATGTTAAATTTATTTAAAGAATCATCTACGTCAATCAACTTTGTAGAATTTGAGGCACATTCACTTTCTTGTTTTGCTTCCTCAATTTTACGTTCAATCTTAAAAATAACGAATGGAGAATAGTTTATATATTCCAAGACATACATATAAATTAAAAGGTGTTGTATTATATCATATTTAAAATCTATCTTACCTTCTCAAGATTTCTAAAGATAAGAATTAAAGATTCTAATAATATTTCGTAATCTTTAATGATAGTATTCACTTTTTCACGCATTTGCACAAGTTTTCCTAAAATCTGCTCGGTTGCTTTAATTTCATCTAATTTAATTAAATGTTTTAATTAAATATGACTCCTTAAATGTAACATATAATATAAATATGCAAAAAGGAAGACGATAGGAGTCAGCGTGGGAAACAATGGGCAATATTAATAAAAAAAAATGATGTATGTATATGCATTTTAATTATAATGACATGAATGTTATGTTGCAATTTGTTACGGTGATGGTTTAATGGCTCTAATCGTTTTGTGAGATAACTTCTTCAATGATTTGTTTTGATTTCATTTTTGAAGTACGTTGCAAAAATTGTTCTTTACATTACAACGAAAAACCTGTGCGGTAAGTTACCCGAACGTGTCTCCAGATGGCGGATCGGAGGATGTACGGGAGGGAGGGGCCCGATCTTCCAGGTATAAAACCCTGTTTTATATCTAGGCCGGGGACCCGCTGGATAGTGGCAGTAATAATTGGTCTTCCAGGTGTAAAACTCTGTATGGGACCGGGAAAGCTGTCGCCGTGGACCAACTCTAAAATCAAGCTGGAAGTTATCGTGGCGAGGGCTGCATGGTACTGGGGGTGCAGTGTTGGTAACAATGCATCTGAGGAACCGGGCGAAACACCAGAGTATCTAGCTTCACTCACGCACGCAAAGCTCTGCGTGGACGGACCTTACACTTTCTTAGCTACTCATGGGATCAAAATGGATCAGTTCGAAAAACTTAAAATCAATGACGCAACCGAGATCCCAAACGGGCATTTTGTGGAGGCGAAGAGATTGTGACGCAAGGACGGGCCTGTATGGGCTTAGGAAGTGAGGCGATCGCTGCAGCGGATAATGCGACTTCCGTTTCGGAGTGGACCTGTACGAATTCAGGAAGTAATGGGACGGTATGGGCAACAACTCTGGGGAGGGGGGTGTCTCATAAGAGGAACCGCAGCGAAAAAGGAGGGTCAAGAGGGACAGAGGGGAGGCTCTCGAAAGGCAGGTACGTGTCTCTCGGGCTTCCATGACGCTGGAAGAGAGGGGAAAGGGGATCACTGGTAAAAAGAGCCGAGTGGGCTCTGACCCCTCCTTCAGTTAACCCTTTCCGGCACACATTTTTCTGATGAACCATTTTTCATGAAACTGGGTACTTGGGGATTTTTGAGGTCGCTGATTACGAATCTGAATTTTAGAAATTCAAAATGGCGGATTCAAGATAGCCGTCCAAAATGTAAAAAGTTACTTGATCCAGATGAAACTGGGTACTCGGGGGTTTTTGAGGTCGCTGATTACGAATCTGCCATCAGAAATTCAAAATTCTGTATCCAAGATGGCGGATTCAAGATGGCGACCAACGACTTTTTTCATTTTTAGTCCTAAACCCAAATCTAACTAAAATTGTATGGTCATATCACGATCAACCAACCACTTTATACGTATTTCCAAGTAGTTCGAGCGCGAAAGTAGCGAGTCTTCTGACGGTGAAAAGTTTTATACATGAAACGAGTTCACGAACTGTTCTTTGTGCACAATAGTGGAAACAAAGTTTTATTGACTCAGGATTAGAAATGAAGGAAATTGTTAGGAAATTATTCGTCGCCATCTTTGATTCAAATTTTTTAAATTTTGATTGCAGATTCGTGATCAAAATCCCCCCCAAAACACCCGTAAACGCCGTTTTATTCACTCAGGATTAGAAATGAAGAAAATTGTAGGTCGCCGTCTTAAATCCGCCATCTTGGATTCAAAATTTTGAAATTCTTATGGCAGATTCGTGATCAGCGACACCGAAAACCCTTATATACTAATTTTCGCTACCCTATCATCCTTCTTTCTCTTTGACACACATTCTTTGTAAAATAATTATGAAATTCCGAGCTTTATTTATTTATATAAATAAACAACAAACACATTAAAGCCAAGGAAATCACATCTCTAAAATATATAAAAGTCAATGGAAAAAAAACTGCCTTCATATAACGTGATTTGAGCTCCTAATTAAAAAAAAAAACTCGATCGAAAAAGGTGTTCCCTACAGGGAACACTGCCGCAAAGGGTTAAAAAAACAATTAAAAATCCTAGGGCTCAAACGACTGGGACCTTTGCAAGATAATTGATCGTTGACGAGGGCGGTTGTTCCGGAGAGACACTCGGAGAGGAGAATAACTCTGGAACAGCTGACCCTTTTTCAGAGGCGATACTGGCAGAGATGGAGGGGATCCAAGAAGGTCTTCTGCCTAGATTCGTGGGACCGGCTACCCTCAGAAACGGAGCAATCATTATTAGAAGTGAGGACGCGGTATCTCTCGGGTGGCTGGAAAGCCTCATAAGCCAGGGGAGCATCGCGTCCTATGAGGGCGCCAAGCTCAGAATGGTGAGCCTGGAGGATATTCAAAGGCGGTACAGAACTGTGGTCTGGATTCCGAGATCTGCGGCTGCTGTCCTGGCGCAGCTGGAGAGGCAGAATCCGGGCGTCGACGCTCTAAGCTGGAGCGTGTTTGTTGAAAACATAGGTAACAATTCCTTTCTTGATGGAGAGAATTTCGTTTTCGGCATTTTGAAGTCCAGTCTTCTCAAATTGAGGGAGCGGGGCTTCAAGATGTGCCATGAGATCGAGAAAATCACCGTTAAGATGGCACGGTTCCATAGTGAGGAATCGGGGGAGGGGAAGAACTTTGATCTAAAGACTAGTCCAACTAGATGAGCTGGTCAGTAATCGAAGTTACCCAAATTAACTTGCACCACAGGAAAAGAACCTCGACGGTTCTAGCTAGGCGCAAATCTATGATGCACGCAGCCATTTCCCTGATACAAGAGCCACGAATCGTTCATGGATTTGTCAGCGGCGTAGCAGCATGTTGAAAACTCTTCAAGGGACTCACTGAAAAAAAACTCAGAGCATGCGTTACGGTCAAGGATCTAGAAGCGTACCTTCTACTCGAGTTATGTTCTAGAGATCTGGTAGTGGCAGAGGTAAAGGCAACTGGCAGCTCTGGGGGCACCAAAAAGCTGGTTTGCTCAGACTAGCTGGAGTTTCTCTTTCCGTATGGAGAAGAGGTGCCACCACCGGAGATGATTAAGCTGGCAAATTTTTGCTAAAAAGAAGGGCTGCCCCTAGTAGTGAAGTGCGATGTTAATGCGCATCAAATCGTTTGGGGTAGTACCGACACGAATGAACAGGGAGGGGAGTTACTGGAATCTAGTGACGAGCAAATTGCTCGGCTAAGACATTCACAAACAACAGAGGAACACCCTGGTGGAATCCACGGCTGCAGACTCTGAAGGCCAAGGCTCACCGGGCATGAAATACAGTAAGGAATACGGGTCGGATCTCTGAATGGGACATTTACAGGAATACATAGGAGTACAGAGACTATGTGGTTGAAGCAAAGGAGAAGAGTTGGCCGGACTTCTGCGAGTCGGTGGAAGAAATTTTTTCAACCGCTAAGGTTTTCAGATTTCTGTCCAAAAATCTAGATGTCACACTAGAAGCTGTTCAAGCACTAGAAGCTGTTTACCGAATGGCACTATGGTATCCGGAAGCAATGTGTGGTTTACCTCCTGGAGACTAATTTTCCTGGTTTTTAGAAGGGTGTGAACAGGTATTTCGGAAACCAACGTAGGCTCCTTCAGAGCACGTGCCGGTGACTGGAGGCTAGCATCTGAAATAATAAGACCAGGTAGGGTCGGATGGGCGATTGGATCCTTTAAACAGTTCATATCGGCGGGATCAAACCTTGTTTTCCCGGACCTTTTTCAGGAAGGGTTAGACCAAGTAATTTTGTCCATTATAAAGGTGCTGAATGCTTGTCGGGCTCTCGGGTACACGTCTCTGGCGTGGAGAAAGACGAGAATGGTCTTCATTCCCAAAGGGGGAAAAACGAGCCATACCTCTGCTAAGGTAGATCAGTCCAACCTCGTTCCTCTTTAAAACGTTGGAAAGGCCAGTCGATGTCTACATCAGGAATCATGTGCTAGCTCGAGAACCATATTGTACTGTAATCAGCATGCATACTGGGTTGGTCACTCGAGTATATCGGCTCTTCACTCGGTGGTGTTCATCACTGAGCGGCAACCCCAGCAAGGTGGTCCTTAGTAGACACCTACTTGGACATCAAGGGAGCCATTAACACTTCACACTGGGTAGTGTGTGCTGAAGCAGCGAGATGGGGCGTAAAATTGATTGAGTGAATCCGGGGAATGCTAGGTTGCCAGGTAATCATCTCACTTGTTACAATGAGTATCGAAGGAGAGAGTTTTCCCCCAAGGAGAAGTTCTTTCACTGCTCCCGTAGTGCCTAGTGGCAGACAGGCTACTTATAAGGCTCAATGACAAGGGCTTCTTGTCAATCAGATACACTGATGACTTAGTCATCCTGATTGGAGGTCCTTCCCTTGGTATACTCCTCGAGTTCACACAAGGGGCTCTAGAAGTGATTGAGGAATGGTTTAGAGAAACGATCCTATCGGTAATTCTAGAAAAGACAATTCTCGTAATTTTCACCCGCAAATACAAGGTGGGCTCCATATAGAGGCCCATCTTGGAAGGAGTCAGACTGATTCCCGAAATGTCAGTCAAATATTTGGGAGTCATCCTGGATAAAAGGCTGAACTGGAAGCTGTACCTGGAAGCGGTGTGCCAAAAAGCCTGTCCATATTTCTGGATGTTTGGAAGGACTTTTGAGCAAACCAGAGGCCGGACAGGGTGTTCTGGCTATACTCGGCAGTGCTCCGGTCAAGATTACTCTACGTTACGGTGATCTGGTAGTCTAGGACACAACTGTTTAAGGCTCGAACATCGCTGGAACGTGTCAAAGCTTTCATTTTAATAGGTGCTCTGGGGGTAATGAAGACAATGCCAGTGGCAATGGAACTGCTATTTGTCATTAAACCACTCCATCTCACAATAGTGGCAGCAGCTGCTGTTATTGCTTACAGGTTGAAGTTCGATGATAAATGGACGATTGGTGTGGATAACACTCGACTACCACTACTACTACTATTATTATCATTATTATTATAACACAGTGAACACAAATTTTTTCATTGTAATAATCATTATTATTACAACAAAAAAGATTTTTACACGGATACACACAATCAGTCTTGCAACTGTATTCGACAACGTTTTTAAAAGATTGAAAATTTTCTTGTGGGTCACAGCGATATGTATATCTATACAAGTAAATATGCTGATTATTGCAATTTTTATTGTAGTATTTTGTGAGGATTTAATAACGAAACCGGAATGTACGTTTGTTATTTCTTGCGACTTAATATTTATTTTATTGCAATTAAAAAATATATTTCATTTATTAGAATTTTTTACTAACATATTGTGTATTGTTTTCCACACTGACTCCTTTTTGTATATTTTGATTTAAATTTTGAAGGGTTTCTTTATCTTTATAAATAACATAAATATATTTTAGTTACCTCTTTCGACAAATACTTGAATACTTTCGATTTTGGTATCTAATTCATGAAGAGCGTTGTTTAATTTAGATGAAATCCGAATTCGTGCATCTTGCAAATTATCCAAAATATCAGTTATTCTAGAAGATGGTGTTGTTATCACTGGATATAGTGTCATCTCAAATTTTGTTATCCACGCTAATGTCTACAACAGAATAAATCGATAGTAATAAAAATTAGCAAAAAGGTTAAAAATAACACTATTTTATACAAATATTTTTCTATCGAATTTTCTTTTTATATTGTCTTATTTTAAATAAATAAGAAATAAAAATAAATTCTACGTTTATAAATAAACTAAATCTAAAATAAATAGGTATAGTAAAAAAATACAAAATTTGATAATATAAATTAGAAATCACACCTCTTTACTTTCTTCTACTTTCTGTTCATATTCCATCCGTCTTTGTCTTATTACTTCGACAGTAATCTGCCATTTTTTCCACCATTCTGTTATAATCAATTGCCGATTAGCAAACTTTTCTAAAAGAGTTTGAACACACAGACAAGTTTGCGATACGTCGAGATAAAAGTCATCAATCTATCATGAAAGAATATCGATACAATTTTTGAAAGAATGTGGATACATCTTTCTTACACACACAATAATAACGTTAAATTTTCTTATTAAAATTAAAAAATTAAAAATATTTTATGAATTGCTTACGTTGTTTGTTTCATTGAGCAATGTCTTTGCATGATTGTCAAGTTTATTGTAAAGAAACTCAAAAGATTTCCATCTTTCTTTTAATTCATTAAATGTAGCCTCATCTATTACATTTTCATTTTTCAATTTGTTGTCAATAAAATCTATTTCATAAGTCAGTTCTTCCACAATTTCATAGAACTGTATATAAATGGTACTCAATTCAATCCTTTTTACTATAGCAATTTTTATTTTTGTCAATTCGTCTTCAAGATTTTTTATTTTTAATTGTAATTCGTATTTCTGTATTTCGTCAGGGTGTTCTGTGATTGGAAGAATTTCCAAATGATCTACCTCCTCACTTTTATTTTCTAATTCGACTAAAAATTGACAATGAATTTGACGAAAATCATATGCCATTGCCAAATCGCTGCCCATATTTTGATGTTTTTGAAGAAAGATTTTAGCAATATTAGTTAGCCAAGCTTGTAATATATTATGTTTATCTAAAAATATAGCAAGTATTCTTGAAATCTCTAAATTTTCTTCTTTATGAGCTGTATACCTTTCCATCAAAGAAAATTTGCAATTTTCCAATTTTTCTACAGTACTTCTTACACCCTAGAAACATGATACATGCACAAACATATATATAGGTATATAAAATATAAATAGGAATAAAATAGGTATATATATATTTGATGTTAGTTGTATATTACTCAGCCGCTATATTTTAATATATCTATAAATACAACGACAGTAACAAACATTACATCAATAATACAATAAAAAGTTAATGAACAGATAATTCATA